ATGATGCTGATAGACTTGCTCAATGCAGGGTGGCCACAGACCTTCAACTTGTGAAAAACACATTATCTGCAAAGTGCAATGAAGTGAAGCACAATAAAATGAGGTATATCTGTATTTTTCATGTTAAAGAATCACAATTTTTGAAAAGTTTGATGTTGGATTTGGGCATAACAAACTAGAAATATGTTCAGAACTTAGCTAAATTCAGGCACCGAAAACCTCAGATACAGCTTGTTGATAAAGATTGTCAACAAAGGACTTAAATCTAGAATATATAAAGAACTCTAAACTCTCAGAAAACAAGCCGATGAAAAAAATGGGCAAAATATTTGAATAGAAACTTTGCTGGAGAGAGTATGTGGATGGCAAATAGGCACATAAAAATATGTTCAACATCACCAGCCATTAGGGATATGCAAATTAAAGGCACAATGAGATACCATTACACAGATATTACACTATCTAAAATACAAAATAGTGACACCACCAAATGCTGGTGAGGATGTAGAGCAACTAGATCACATACATTGCTGGTAGGAAGGTAAAATGGTCCAGCTGCTCTGGAAAATAGTTCGGCATTTTCTTATAAAACTAAATACGCAATTACCATATGACCCAGATATTGCATTTTGGGGCACTTATCCTAGAGACATGAAAAATTATGTCCACACAAAAACCTGTACATGGATGTTCACAGCAACTTTGTGATAGCTAAAAAACTGGAAGCGACCTAGATATTTGTTAACAAGTGAATGTTTAAACAAACTGGTACGTATACACGGTCTCAGCAATAAAAAGGACCGAACTATTGATACATGGAACAGCTTGAACAAATCTCCAGGAAATTATGCTGAGTGAAAAAGCCAATTACAAAAGGTTACATAAGCACTATTTTATTTGCATTTATTTATTTTTTATAGATATATTTTTATTGAAGTATAATCAGATTACAGTATTTGTATAGTATTTTAAAAATGGCTTGTGATATAATTCATAAATTCATCCATTTACAGTATACAGTTGAGTGGCTTTTAGTATATTCATAGAGTTGTACAGCCATATTGAACTGTTTTATTTTTTATTTTTTAAATTGTGATATAACTCACTTGCCATAAAATTCGTCCTTGAAAGTATATAGTTCAGGGCAGAGGGTATAGCTCAGTGGTAGACTGTGTTCCCAGAATGCGCAAGGTCCTGGGTTCAATCTCTAGTACCTCTGTTAAAAATAAATAAATCTAATCCCCCCCACCAAAATACAAGACATAATATAACATACTAACACAGTAATGATAAAAATAAAGTATATAATTCAGTTTTTAGTATATTCACAGCTTGTGTAAAATCACCATGATCTAATTTCAGAACATTGTCAGTATCCCCTAAAGAAACCCCATACCCATCAGTAGTCACTCCCCACTCCCCACTCCTAGCCCCTGACAACCACTAATCTACACTGTTTCTATGGATTTGCCTATTCTGGACATTTTACATGAATGGAATCTTACAATGTTGCCTCTTATGACTGCCTTCTTTTCACTTAGCAAATTTTAAAGGTTCATCCAAGTTGTAGCATGGATCAGTACTCCATTCCTTTTTATGGCTGAATAATATTCTACTATATGAATATACCATATTTTGCTTATATACTGATGAATATTTGGGTGTGTCCACTTTTTGGCTTTATGAATTATGCTACAATGAACATTCATTTACAAGTTTTTATGTGAATATATTTCCAATCCTCTGGTGTATCCACCTAGGAGTGGGATCACTGGGTCATATGGTAACACTGTGTTTAGCTCTGTGAATATACAATATCCTTAAAATGACAACATTTGAGGGGAGGTTGTTGCTCAGTGGTAGAGCATGTGCTTAGCATGCATAAGGTCGTGAGTTCAATCCCCAGCACTCTTAAAATTAAAAAAAAAATAAGTAAAATGACAACATTTTAGAAATGGAGAAGATGAGTGGTTACCAGGGATCAAGATGAGGAAAGAAGTTAGTGTGGATATCAAATGGCAATAAGGAAGGCTCTTTGTGGTGTTAAAACTAATCAGTATTTTGATCGACTATTTAGAACTTAATACAAACACACACAAAAGTACAAGTAAAACTCAGGAAATCTGAATAATATTGGTAGATTGTATTATATCAATGTTAACATTAAGGCTGTTATAATATAATTTGCCAAATTTGACTATTGGGAGAAACTGGGCAAAACTTGTAATGGATCTCTCTGTATTATTTCTTAAAACTGCAAATGAATCCATAATTATCTCAATACAAATTCCAATTAAAGTTAATAACTGGTTCTCATTTTCTTTTAGTTGCAAAATTTATATTGCCTCCCTTCACCCCCTCCAGAGCTGGCTATATCTACCAGGTTTCTACTATTTGCCTTACTACTACAGAAGGGAAAGAAAACATCTTATCTGCATAAACACAGTCATGTTGCCCTCACAAATAAAAGTTTCTATAAAAATCGAACTAGAACTACCGACAAAACACATTAATCTTAAATTGAAGACACTAGACCTTATTATATATTATCAGTAACATTTTTACAAGTTGTTTAACTCCTATTTATTACAACAGCAGCCCATCTAGCACTATGAAAGAATTTTAACTCAGTATCATATTGCCTAAACTAGACAACACAATCACCAACTGAATATTTATCCCTTCTATACCTGGCTTTTCCTAAATAAAGCTCTCTTGCACCTGTTTCTCCATTATTGGACAGAAACACATGATAATTATTTTTGTATATCCCACAAAGAGATAAAGTTAATTATAAAAAATTTAAATGCATGCGGTGAAGAGAAAGACTGCCTCATCATGACAATTGAGTTCCTGTAGGATTAAATAATAGGTTATTGGAAAAGGGAAAGATGACTCATGCTGAAGGTATTCTGTTGAAATCACTAGACTCTTAAAAAAAAACTAGCAGTTAAACTGTCACTAATTTTTATTAAATTCAAAAAATGCCAATATGAGCTATGGAATAGTTTTTAATGTACATAGTATCTAAAATCAAGTCAAAATGAGACCTTGTATAGCCTTTTAAATATCTGCTTTGGAAAACAGATTAAAAATATGTATAGGTACCAAATGCTTTATGCACATGTAGAGAACTGCCTTTAAAAAGTACTTTGAAATTCTTGAAAATAGCTTACATATTTTCTTTAAACAAGTTTAAAACAAGTCTTTTTTTTTTTTTTGACAATTTGGTAAATTGGGCATAAACATAAACCCTAATCTAACCCAAATCCAAATTATTAAAAAATCTCAAACTTCTTAAGTACCAGTAGTAAGTTATTCTGTGGACAAGAAGAACAATGCTAGGAATTTGACACAACATTGTAAAATGATTATAAATCAATAAAAAATGTTTAAAAAAATAAAAATAAGTTATTTAAAATGCAAAAAAAAAAAAAAAAAGAACAATGCTACCCATAGTAAAACTGCTACAGTTTTCAGGGATTTGCATCACATTTTTCTGAAAGAAAAGACAAATTAAGAAATCTCTACAAAGTGTCATAAGATTTATTGTATCTATATAAATTACACTTAATCTCTATTCATCTTTCTATCTTAAAAGAGGGAAATATTCACATAAAAATTGAAATATATGTTTGTTTACATATCTATCTAGCTATATATTTATATCTATTTAAATAAAACCTGGAGTCAGGGTGAAAAGAGGCCTCAAGGAATAAAGCCACTCTTACAGGCTGAGTTGCACCCCCTCAAAATTCGTATGTTGAAATCCTAATTGCCAGAATGTGATTGTATTTGAAAATAGGGTCTTTAAAAAGGTAATCAAGTTAAAATGAGGTCTTTAGGGTATGTTGATTCAGTATGACTGGTGTTCTTAATAAGGGAAAGAAATCTGGACACAGTTACAGAGGGAAGACCACGTGAAGACACAGAGAACAGATGGCCATCTACAAGCCAAAGAGACAGATCTCAGAAGAAACCAACCTTCTTACCACACACAAGTAATTATGTAAGGTGATGGACGTATGAAGCAACCTTACTGTGGTAATCATTTTGCGATATATATATATACATCAAATCATCATGTTGTACATCTTAAATTTACACAATGCTGTATGTTAGTTATATGGCAATAGAGCTGGGAAAAACATTAAAAAGGAAGAAGAAACTAACCCTGCTGACATCTTATCTTGGACTTCTGACCTCCAGAATCGTAAGAATATAAATTCCTGTTATTTAAGCCACCCAGTCCATGGTGCTTTCTTATGGCAGCCCAAGCAAACCAATACAGACCCCAGAGACAGCTGCTTATTCAAAGGGCTGTTCAATGTCCCAGAATATAAGCATTCAGAACATTTTACTTAGAGGTCACCACAGAGGCAATCCAGACAAAGAGTCACATCATGTTACCTTTAACAATGTCAGTGACCTTTGGAACCCCATTCTCTGGCAACAAATACGCTGACAGTACTTGGGTTCAACTAAAAAACACCTACAAGCACTCTCTAGCTCATCACAGGGTGTCAAGGGAAAAGTCAAGGCATTTCCTACAAATGCGGTTTCTTTCTTTTTCATCTGTTGATATAACTCAGATGGTTCAAGTTATTTAATAAGACTGGAGGATATTCGCCATTTGGTGCTATATTGTAAGTAGGAAATCATCCTTCCCACTGAAAAATGCTTAATATGTGTAATTATTATTATTAATATATTTTGTAATTATTATTATTACATTTTGAGCATGGTAGATCCTAAGCAATGGTCTAACACTACAGCATTCAGCAGTAACTCAAAAGCACTATGTACCATCTTCAAAAGGATTTCTCTGGCAAAAGACAGACTTGGGTCTGCATCAGTGCCCCTCAGTGATAAAAGGGTTCAATATTGAGAAAATTGCAAAACTGAGTTCAGATAATACTTTAAGTCTTTTATCAGAATATTTCTCTCCCTACAGAGGATATAATTTCCCACTGTGTTTTATTTTCAGGTAATCCATATACCTCAGCTGAAAGATTCTTATTTTTCACCAACAAACCAGTAAGGTCAGGATGGACTGGGTCAGCTGCCTTTTTGTTGTACATGACTGGATTCCTGGTGGGAACCACTTTAAGAGGTGGATCCAAACAAGCCTACAAAGAGAAATTTTGAATTAATTAACTAAACATATACCCTAGAAATCACAACCCACAATGTTTTAGCCCATACAAACTCGAGTATGTAGCTCTAAATAGAATACAACTTTAAAATATTCATTTTGAGGTGCTATCCCAACAAATGAAATAGGACTCAAGAAAATAGCAAGTAACATGTTGACCTATAAGGCTTTTTATAAAATTCTTTTCTAAAACTATTTTCTAAAAAATTTCTTTCTAAAAAATTTTTCTAAAAATTCTTACCTAACAATCAGTAACACTAGCCATAAGTAAATGCAGGACATCTAATAAACATACTTTCTGAGAGTACAGGAACCAAGAAAACACACATAAAATGTCTGGGGAAATTTTAATTCACATCTTATAAAACCTTTATAGAAACTTGAACTACCAGTATTTACTTTATTTTTTGTGTGTGACAAATCAATTCCTATGCATTGTATCATCATGCAAATTGATGTTTTAAAAAATCTGATTTCAGTAAATCAACGTTAATTTGGTGTTTCTTTCACACCAATATTGGGGGTAAAAATTAGGGAGATTTACCTGCATTATAGTATCTCCTCCTATTGTCAAAAGAGTGTGAAATGTTTTAATTTTTAATTAGCATAACTGGCTAAGAACAAAGTTTGTATGATTCAAATGAAACTAAGGAAATGTACTCATCTAAATCTCTAAAAGGTGTATAAATACATCACATGGTGCTTAATGTATTAAAGGAGCAAAGTACATTTTCCTAAAGTTACCAGATTTTAGAATTTTATGCTTACCAAGATACTATGAACATACACTTGCACAAGAGAATACAAAGCAACTGTGTTTAAATGTTTAAAGAAACAAAGAAAACCCTGAAAATATAAATAAGTCACAAGAGACCACAAAGAATAAACATATTGGAAAAACAACCAAATAAGGCTTTTAGAAATGAAAAGTGTAATAATTTTAATTTGAAAATTGAATGGACACATTAAAAAGCAAATTAGATCTAGCTGAAGAGTGAGTGAACTTAAATATGAAAGAAATTATCAAGCATATAGGAAAAAAAGATAAATGATGAAAGAGTTTAAAGGCAGAGAGAATAAAATGAGAATGTCTATCATATGTCTATTTGGAATCCAAGAAGGCTTTATTTTTAGAGAATGAGGAAGAGGCAATATTTGAAGAACTAATGCTTGGGAATTTTACAGAATTGTGGTAAGATACCAATCTAAGTGGTCTAGCAAATCCCAAGTAAAGTAAATAAAAAGAATTTCTTTACCTACACATTTATAATGAAACTGCAGAACATCAAAGAGAGGTATCTAAAAAGTGAATAACAGAAAGGACAGATTACAATGAAACAGCAGTGAGATTAGTGAGTGACTTCTCAACAGTAATGCAGAAGCTGAGAAATAGCAAGACGATATCTGTAATGTACTAAGAAAAATATGTCACCTTTCATTGAGTCTAAGAGGCAAAAATTTTCACATCTCTGCAACTAGGGTGCATCTTAAAGTTGATGTCACTTCATATTATGGATAGGTTAGCTGGAAACATACTTTCAAATTTCATAATAGTGTATAAAATAGTATTTCTTAAATCAAGGGCATAAAGTAACTGCCAACTAGAATTTTATACTGAATTAAATTATTTTTTAAGATTCACAGTAAAATAAAGAAATTTTAGACCAAACAAAAATTTATTACCAATAGGTCCTCATTTAAGAAAATTCTAAAGGATGTGTTTCATACGGAAAGAAAGTGAACTTACAAAGTCTGAGATAAAATAAAGAACAGTGAACAAAAAATAATAGTAAATATGTGGGTATATTTACACAAGCATTAATTAATTTTAAAAGTGTGATTTATGGGATTGAAAATAAAGAATAGACCCAATGCAGGACCAAAAAATATATACATTGAGAAGAGAAAAGTAGTTTGAAGCACTATAAAGTATTCAGATTTCTCAAGAGTAACATACAGATTTCAGTTAACTTTGCTAAGTATATATGTTAAAATAGCTAACATAACTACTAAAACAACTTCTAAACTAGTAGAAAATGAAAAATGGAATGAGGAAAAAGAAATGCAACACAACAAAACAAAAACAATCAGTTTTTAGCATGAGAGAAAGAGGGAAAAGGGAACAAAAATAATGGTACAAACAAAATACACATAATATGATGATAAAAATACACCCAAATAATCAGTAATATCAATAAATGTAAATGGACTGAACTTTCCATTGAAAGCAAAAACTATCAATGCTATTTGAAAAAGCAAAGAACTGAAAACAACCCACATGTCAAATAAGTTTAATGGATAAATAACTTATGGTATATTCATACAATAGAATACTACAAGACGATGAAAATTATTGAATAAATTATACATAGATCAACACAAATCTCATGAAATGAAAGAAGACAAAAGCTGTATAATTCCATTAAATAAACTTTTAAAACAGATAAAATTAATATTTATTGGGGTTACACATGAGTGATAAAACTAGGAAGAGAAGGAAGGCAATGAATGACACAAAACTCAAAATACCTACTATTTTGAAGTTTAGGTGGGAATAAAGGGATTTAGTAAGGGGCACACAGGGAGCTTCTAAGGTACTAACAGTGCTTTATGAAACTAGGTGGTGGGTTCATAGGTATTTGTTTTATGACCTGATCTGTGTATAGATTTTATAATTCTTTTCTATGTATGACACATGTTTTAAAAATCCACACACAAAACAAAACTGCATATTTTTAAAAGATGCATATATTCAAAGATACACATAGAACATCAAACTGAGGTTAAGACAGAAATGGAGGTGATGGAGGAAAAATAAAGTGAGAGGTGCCTTGCACAGAAAAGTGATACTGTACCATGAACTAAGCATGATTAACTTGACAATGTCTCTGAAAACAAAAGAGCAAATTGATTAAACTGTGTTCAATGTCTTATTTAGTATACCATAATATCACTAAGATATCAAACACCAATAATAAGAAAAAAAATATTCAATTAGGTTTTTAATTTATAAAAATTAGAAATATTCAGCTTGCAATTAATTTTTGCAGACAAGTTCTTTCAAATAAAGCTTGAAAACTTTTCTTATTTCATAATTTAGAAGATATGAAAAGGAGGCATTCTGTATAAGGATACTCACTGCAGCTTATTTATATAAGAAAAATTAAATTGTATAAAAACAGTGAAACATTAATGTAATTTTTAATGGAATTCTACACAGCAGTTAACATGCACAGACTAAATTTATGTGAATCAAAAAGAACTACTCTCAAAATTGTAAGATTGAGTGCAAATAGCAAGGTAGAAAGTTATGTCTAGTAGAATATCATTTATGTAAATTTTTTAATGCCCAAAACATTAGACGCATTCACATATGTAAGTACTACACACGTGGACATAAAGGCTATACACTTAGTTCAGAATAGCTATTTCTGAAAAGGGAAAAAAAAAGGTTCAGGATGGTCCAATAGATTTCATATAGTTTTTTAACGGCAACTGCCCTAACACCCTCATCTCTCACCACCCAGACCCTGAGTCCTCTCACTTCCCCCTACAATACAGTAACCAAGATGGCTAATGCTTAAGCAGAGTTCCAGGGCCTGCCCCAGTGCTGGGAGTGGCAAAGATTCTTATTGTTTGATGTCAGATCCAATTGTTAAATTCATTCATATCATCGATCCCAAGAGTTCGGAGAATGGGATCAGAGGTTACAAAACAGTGAAGTTTATCAGTGAAGTTTTATTTCTTAAAAGAATAAGTGAAGCAAATTTGGTGGGGGAAATGCCAAATTTAAATCTGTGCGGCCCATACATGGTGTTTTATTTGTCTCCTTACTTTTCCAAATGTTTGAAATTAAATACAAAAATTAAAATTTACAAACATAATCCAGTTGACTTTTTAAATCACAATATAAGGACACTAATAGATGATAAGATTTGTATGGTGCTGTATTATAGGTATAATTCAATTTGGGTTTTTATATATATTACTCCCAAAGAAAACATAAAATATTATTTTTATTATAACTTGTTGCAAACTCAAACTTTTTTACAATTGATATAAAATATAGTTCATAGCTAAATGAATACATGCTGAAAATAAGATTATAATTATTAATACACACTTTATATTTTTATAATGTACCAATATTCAAAAATATTTTGTTACCATATTTTGTGAAAAATGGCAAAGAAATTTTTTAATTTCCTAGAGGGATTCATGAGCATTTACGTACTTGAAAGGAGTTAACTACTAAGACTGTGGAACACTGTCTTTTTGCATTGTATCATTTACTTCTTCCTATATTTACTGAGGTTTGGTTAAAAACAAAAATTATATATATATATTTAAAGTATGTGACAATGTTTTGATATATGTATACACTGTGAAATAATTTTCACAATCAAGCTAGTTAACATATCCAACACCTTACACAGTTATCATTTTTTCTTTCTTTTTTTGTGGTGAGAATACTTATGAATCCATCCTCTTAGCTAGTTTCAAGTATACAACAGAGTATTGTTAACTATAGTCACATTGCTGTACATTAGATTTCCAGAACTTACTCAACTTGCGTAACTAAATCTTCGTACCCCTTGACCAACATTTCCCCATTTCCCTCTCCCCTCAGCCTCTGGAAACCACCATTCTACTCTCTGCTTCTGTAAGTTTGACTGTTGTAGATTTTATGTGAAATCATGTAGTATTTGTCTTTGTCTGGCTTAGTTCACTAGTATAATGTCTTACAGGTTCATCTATGTTTTTCAAGATGGCAGGATTTCCTTCTTTTTAAAAGCTGAATCATGTTTCATTGTATACACACACACACACACACAAGTGTACATATATATAACTTCCTTTATCCATTTATCCATTGACTTATTTACTTTTAATGCAATGTATTTCCATTCCTAGCCAAGAAACTAGGCTTGTCATTCTCATTTAAAGCCAATAGGGAACTGAAATAAACCACTCCCCCTATGCTCACCCCCAGGATCAGACTTCATCTCCTAGGAGCTACAAAACTAGACTAGGTGGATCTTTCTAGTGGTCTTAAAAAAAAAATCAACAGAAGGGACATCATCTGATCTGAGAGGGTATTTGATTTCCAGGAAGAGTCTCATTAGAGTCTAGCCCTAAAAACAAGGTTGTATACCAAGGGGGTAATATGGTACAATAGAAAGGTGATGGGATTCAGAGTACTCTGTTCTGTCCTTAAATCACTATGTCCTCTCTCTAGTGTTGTTTCCTAATCTGCAAAATGATGGGGTTGGATCAAATTAACAGAGGCCCATTATATCTGTTTTTATATTGTTTTGGAACTGTGGGCCTTGGTGAAATGTCAGAACCACCAAAAAGGCAAAAATAAGTAAAATGCACTTTGAGGTTGCATTAGATTCACGTGTTTCATTGCTACTTGTTCTAGAGTCAAGCCAGGAAACATAAGAAGTGAAAGATCATTTGACTCATGGCTTGCATCATTCATTAGCACAGGGCTCTGGCACAGGAAAGTGAGCAAACATAACTGGACTTTGTCTTCTTCTAGCACTTATGCAAGAGATTGTCTTACCTCTTCCGAGAATGGGGAAAAAAATGCCAGAGTACAACTCACCCCTGGGCTATTCTTCTGAGACGTGTAAGCTGACAGATGCCTGACTCCTGATGGCTTAGCCTTGTGAGGCCCTTTGCTTTGGCCAGTAGCAAGCCTTCCTGGATTTGAGTGGTTTAAAAGCTGGAGAGGGCCTGACATGCTGGAGATAAAAGAAGTATGCAACAGATCTAGTAATGGTGAACCGAGGTGCTTCCAAGGGGAGTTTGCAGAGAGTGGTCAGGAAGAGATGCTGAGGTCTGCCCAGCATCAACAATGTCTTCAGGCAGGTTCAACTTCAGATCCTTACAGTTTAGCCAGACCTCAGAAGGAGCTGCCCGCTGAACCTGTTGGTTGGAGACAAGGCAGATCTAGTTTCTAAATACAGTACCAAAACATCTTTTAAATTGTAACTGCTTGAAACAGGCTGCTGATACACATACATGTACTCATAACAATACACTTAAATGCTACTAGTGAATCATATCTTTAGACAACTGACTTGCAGTCTTCCTTCATTTTCAATTTCTGAATCTATCAGAAATGCTAACTATATCCCTCAAGATTCAGCCAAAAGATGAAGTCTAAAATGAGTTAATAATACAGCATGTGATAGCTCATAGCGTTTTCTGCTCCAGAACATAAAATGTAACTTCACATTATAATTTTTATAAATATATTTTCCCAAGAACTCAGGACTGCCTTAAATTCATTTTCCCTACCCAGTTCAAATCCATATATTATCTTTCTTTTCAAAAATGAAAATGAAAGAAATAGAAGAAATAAGTCTTCCAAATCAATGCCCATATATTTTATTAAGCAATAAGATGGTAGTTTCTTTTTTAAGATCAGAGAAGGTATTCTAGTAGGGAAAAAAAAAGTGGCATTTAGAAATTGTGCACTGGAAGGGTTACACGTAAGTGGGATATGTGTTTCCTTTGCTGATGGTATCTTCCAGAAAATGGAACAGTCCCAGAATGAGAGGAATTTTTATAAGAGGAGGAAAAAAATTAGGATAGTATGATTTGAATAGCATGGAACAGAGTATGAAGGCCTGGTTTTCTTTAGTAACCCTGGAGTCTACTTTGAAATTCCTCTATTAATTCATTCTACATTTATAGATATTGAAGACAATTATTAAAGTACAAATATCTCCAATGAAATTTTAGTCTCTTCCCTATTTTAATCATTTGATACTTAAAATCATAACTATATTAATTCCTTTTCTAAGAACCAAAGAAGAGACTTAAAGAACAACTACTGAAGTTTTGGTGAATTGAAAAGGGAGGATAATGTTCTCCTCAGTTCTGGAACAAGAACGATATTGGAAATAAGGTCTTGTTAAGAATCCTATCCTTTATTTTATTTTATTTTTATTTCCTTACCATCTTATGAATCTTATGCTCTTTATTAAAAACAACTTATGAGTTTCACTCATACTGTCTCTAGGGAACAAGCTACTGTGTGGACTGAAGTATATACTCAGAAATATGAACTGATTCTGCAGTATGCCAATACTACCTCCTTCCTTGATTCATGCCAGTTGAGGGAATCTCTCTTCTCCTAATTTGTATAGTATATGATCTATACTTTTCTTTTGATTGTCATCTCATTCAACATTGTATTAGGTCAAAATCTTATCTCTCCTACATTAAAGGTATATTAAAAGCAGGATCTATTTCTAGTTTATCTTTATCATCCCATACTAGGTACAAAAAAACCCCCAAACTGAACAAGTAAAGAACCCAAAGGAAAAAAAAACAAAAGAAAACCAACACCACCCAACCATAACACAAAGTTAACTTATATAGGTGATAGTACTGCCCTCCCAAATTTACCTTTTAGAAATATAATAAAAATATATTAGGAGTCTAAAGTAAAAAGTAAAATATAGCAATACAACACAATTATTCTGTGACTTTAGTTTTGTACATAACTATTTTATTTTTTACACACTCATAAGATTTATCGGTATTTCCCTTTAGAAAGATACAGGATGCTATGCTTCATTTAGTGGAAAGTAAAAACCGTAAATTTTTACCATATCAAGCACAAGAGAAAATTCCAAATCCAAGGTCAATTCCCAGAAGAAACCTGAATTGTCCAATATGAGTGGCTGCTCTGCACAATTTACCAGTAGAATGTTTGCACATCAAAGAAGCTGTTGCTAGGTGAACACATCACAAAGATCCAGGGAAGGGCAAAGGGGCTTCCCAAAGTGATACAGCAAGGCCTGAGGGTCTTTACTTCCCTAATTAATGAAGTAAAAACATGAAGCGGCTTCATCAAGCATTAGTGAACTTAACAATCTTTAGGAAAGTGATCCCACCAACAGTAAAGTTTCCAGCAAAAGTGAAGCTCGTATTTTGGGTCTGTCTTTTGTGAAATTCTTGGAATAGGTCAAATATTTGTACTTCAATACCTACACCTTATCAAGGGAGAAGTACTTAGAGAAGAGGAGAAAAATGATGATTCCATCTACTATTCCTAAAGCAAAAGATGATTTATCTGAAAAACTGGCATCCTAATTCTAAGAAAGTACGTCCCGATGTATTTTTGATACCAAAATCACCAGAACTATACTTCAAATATCATCTATTCTAGTGTTTCTCAATCTGCCCACCCTTTAGAACCTCAAAGACAACTTCAAAAAATACACCGTGACACTACCGCATCATGTTCTGATTTAATTAGTCTGCAGTGGAGCCTAAGCATAAACATTTTTAAAAAGCTACACAGGTAATTCTAGTGTGACTTTAGGGTTGAGATGACTATCTTCATTTATATATGATAAAAATGAGGCAGGGATAAAATAAGTGGTATTCACAGGGATGAGAGTAATAGTTAACAACTAACCCAGGGAAATAAGAAATATTTTTTTTCCTCTAAAGCTAGATTTTAAAAATTAAATCCCCAAGCAGCAGAAGCACACTATAAACAAGCCCAGAAATGCCTTATAAATCTTACATTCCTGTGGAAAAAGCAAAAGATAGTAAACAAAGATTTAAATAAAATCATTTTGGATAGTGAGAAGTGCTATGAATAAAACAGGTTAATGTGATAGTAATGAGGAAGCAAGGGGGCAATTTTTGATAGTGTAATCAAAGGCCTGTTTTGAATATATTAACATAAATCATATTATACATTTTATTGGATAACCTGCCTTTATCATTTAACAATATGTGAAAGCTATCTTACAGTACATCTATAGATGCATATTTACTGTTCCTTTAACAACTGCATCCATCCTGATGGAGATTTTATTATTTTTTTACTATTGAAATTGATGCTGTTAGGAACATTTTGATACACATATCTTTGCGTATATGTGTAATTATTACTCTAGGATAAATTCCTATAACTGAAATCACAAGATCAAAGAATGTATACATTTAAGGTTTTGACAGATATTATCAAATAAACCTCAAAATTTTTCTGAAAATGGAACTTCTGCAGAAAGGACACACATGTTTTCAAGCAACTACCATTAAGAGCATTTGCATAAAAATATTTTGTCTATTCTTTGTGAAATGATCAGTTCTCAGTCTTTATCTTAATTGACCAATCTGCAATATATCTGATAGAATTAGTTACCCCTTTTCCCGTGAAACACTTTCTCACTTATCTTCTAAGGCTGCATGCTCTCAAAGTTTTTTTCTCATAACACACTGCCTCTTCTTGTCAATGCGCTATCCTGTTTGCTCATCTCCTTGAATTCTAAACACTGACGTGTCCTAGGGATCAGTCCTTGGTCCTCTCTCTACCTACACCTATAGCATACCGTTCGTGGGCTCTCATCTAACCTCTAATGGATTTAAATATCATATTTCTCATTTAAATGAATGTCACTTAGACATCTAGATGTCTAAGAGGAATCTAAAAACATTTAAAATCTTAATTCAACTCAGTAATGGCAACTCCATCTTTCCAGTTGCTCAAACCAAATTCCTGTTTTCTTACTCTTACACCCTCATTTCCTTTCTTCATTCAGGTTTCTGTTCAAGTCAGATTCCCTAAAGAAGCCTTTCTTACTACATTTCTAAAACAGCAATCTCCTGCCCACCACCATTCCCCAAACTCTTTGCTAGCTATATTTTTAATGGTATGTCTCAATATCTAAAATTAGAGTACGTATTTCTTTAATTGATCACTGATTCCCCCACCTTAATATTAACGGAGGGTAGTAACTTTATTGGTTCACCCTGGTTTCTCTAGCATCTAGAGCAGGGTCTTTTGTTGTTGGCAAGCAGACACTCAATAACTATTTGCTCAATGAATGAATGAATTGTGCAGGTCAGACAGAGACGTAACAGTTGAAAACCAGGCTGTTGAGATGGTAAAGGCAATACATTTAGAGATGAAACATCCAGGTTTGGTCCCTTTCCCAGGCACAGCTATGCAGCTTTAGGCAAATTATCCTTCAAAGTCTATTCTTCTATCTGTAAATCGAGGTCTTCTTCCTCAGTAAACAGGACATAGTCAATACCTATCTGGTATTATAAGCCACATAAGTGTCACCACCTACAACTTACTAGGCACATGTTTCAACTTTCCTCTTAATTTCAGTTGTTCAGGTATGTGACTGTACATGTTCAGAGGTCCTTATATTTTTAAGTTATTATATAGTTAGCTCTCCCCATCTTCCCGATTCAACCAATTCTGGGCCAAAATTTTTTAAAAGCTCCAGAAAGTTCCAAAAAGCAAAACTTGAATTTGCTGTATAGCAGTAACTATTTATATAGCATTTACATTGCATTAGTAATCTAAAGATGATTAAACTTGCACGGGAAGATGTGTTTAGGTTACATGTAAATACCACGCCATTTTTTATAACGGACTTCAGCATTCGCGGATTTTAGTACCTGCGGGGCGGTCCTGGAACCAATCAAACTTGCAAGACCAGTCCTCACAAACATCCGGGCTGCCTTCCTCCTCCGGTCCTGCTCCCCAAGCAAACATCCAATCTCACTTCTCCTCCGGAGTGGACGCCTACTGGGAGGAGTGTCCGCCCTCGTCGGTCACTAGGCATCCAGTTTATGTGAGCCCTGGGTCTGTTCTCCAGCACCGGATGTGGGGGACTCTGACCAAAGCTAGACTTGGAAAGCTGACGGCCGTCTCTGCACTGGCCAACACCCTGGTTACCCCAGACTCGGAGGGAGCCACGCAGCGCTCCAGCTCGGCGGGCCTGAAACTGCGCTGGGCTTCAACCATGGCCGAGCGTCAGATTCGCCTGAGATGATATAAAGTCAGGGGCTTCACCAGGACCCTCCGATTCAGTATGGGGGTGGGGGCCCCGACACACGTCTGACGGCGCCCGGTAGGGGACGAGAACGCCCGGAGCCGCCGCACATCCGGCAGGTGTAACTCCTGGGGGCAGCCCGGCGCCCCACCAGGCTCCGCGCGCGGCAGCGGGGCCAGGACTCTTCCGCACAGGCCCGCTCCTTCAGCCCGCGCCGGCCTCCCGCGCCCGGGAAACTGTTCTCCCGCGAGACCCCCCGCTCGGCTCCGCCCCCTGCCCCGCCACAAAACGGCTGGAGTCGAGGCCGGATTCCCTCTACAGCTGGTTCCCCGCCCTCACGAAGGCGCGTTCTGGGAAGGGTCCTTCCACCAGCCAATCATTTCCTCCATCCAATCTTCACCGAGTTTCCTCATCTTTCCGCGGCCCTTCAGACCCCTTAGTCCTCCGCTCTTCGCTGCCCGAGGGCTTGCGTCTATTCGGATCGCTCACAGGCAGCCACGTCTGGGGGTGCGCAGGCGCAGTAGCGGCATCGTCCTGGGCGGTCGCTAAGCACGTGTGTTGGGCTGTCCCAGGCTGCAGAAGAGAGAGTCGAACCTCGTTTTTTTGGCGGTGTCCGTTGTGGGCAGCAGACTAATAAAGGCCATGGCGCCGGCGGAAATCCTGAACGGGAAGGTGATCTCAGCGTAAGCACCTGTCATTGTTGTTAGGGCGCGGTTGGGCTGCAGGCGAGGGCCCTGAGCAGGGTGTGCAGGCCCCCAGGCACCCACTTTTTGCAGGAGGGAGACTAGTAGCACAAGAGTCAGGTCAGCCGGGTGGGGAGGAAGAACTTTGTCCTAAGCCCCTTGAAGAATGGTTCCCTGCAACTGAAGAAAGGGGGCTTGGGCACGATCTGCGTTTGCAGATTGATTGGGTGGGTGCCTGGTGGCTGTGCCCGTTGGCTTCTGTGCTTCTGGGACAAGTCCTCTTACTTGGCCCGACGACTGTGCCCCCAAAAGTGCAGTTGCTGACAATTTTCTGCCACAAGAAAGAATAGTTGCGGTTGCCTGCAGCATCACAGTCAGAACTCAGAAACGCAGTTTACTCCCTTTCCCTGTAATTTGAAGGTGAGTAGACTGAAATAAGTGAGGTCACAAGACTTGACAAGGTTACAAGGCTGATTAGTGACAGAGGGTCTCCTTCCAGCCCATGCCTTTTCCCACTACACCAGAGACATCATTTGCTAAGTAGAACCCAATAAACGTTTCCTTTTCCCCTTCAGTTTTATGCTCCTCTAAATGCTATCTCCTTGTCCTATCTCTAGAGTTTCTTTCTGGTTTGGCTTTTGAGCCCTGACAACATTTTGTATTCCATTTGACTTCTGCCATTTCTACCCAATGGGAAATCTAAATGCTTCAGTGGTAGATGTGATTACCAGACTCAATTACCTGGAAGTAACACCTGGCTGCTTTTTGTTTGGGAGGTGACAAGTCTCGGGGGGAAGATGAAAGTAGAATGGGGAAGGGTATATTTTGTGTGATCCTCTTGGAGGTTGCTCTTGGGACATTGGACCTCACCAGTTATTTAACAACAGCTGTAGCTGGCAACAGTAATTGCCCTATGAATCCCTAATTTTGTGAGTAGAGATCTTTGAGTGAGTTGTAGAGTCAGTGGTGGTGAAATCCACCTTGAGCCAAAATGTTTGTTTCCTGAAAGGTAGAGATGGTGGGGACAAAGAAGGTGAGATATAAAAAAGATGGTGGTGAATCTTTCACATTGGTGAGGAGGAACCCCAAATTTTTGGATTAGAAATCACAACATTATGGTTTTCTGCATATGGTTTGCTAAACTGCATTGTTTTTGCCTGACCTTTGTTTTTTGTTTGCTTATACTCAAACCGACTCCCTTAATCAGTAGCTTTTCTTGATAAAATCTTCCCTTTAGAAAGACTGGTTGTGAAGAGATAATTTAAGTTTGCTTCTTGCCAGCCTTCTGAGAATAGGTGCTCCCTGGGTATGTTTTGGTTGAGTGGAGAGCAAGTTAAATATGTTTGTAAGCTCCATAAGGGTAAATAATATGTGCACTGTCTTGCTTGTGTCTATATCCAAAACACCTAGAAACCTTCTTTCTCTCCTTACTAGTTTTGTGGCATTAAGCAAATTAGCTTACCTTTCTATGCCAAATTTTTCTCAAATGTAAAATAAAGACAGTATCTAGGCCACTGAGTTGTTAGGAGAACTAAATGAGTTCTTGGCTGAGAAGCATTTAGAATTGTTCCTGGTACATAGTGTTTAATACATGTCAGCTGTTAATAATTCGTAATTAGTTAATGTATACATAGGTGATTGATTTATCTTTTTGACAGTGATAGTTGCCTTGAGATCATTTGAGTAGTTCTCAACACATTACCTGCACATTAAAATCACTTAGCTTTTTGGGGTTTTTAAATTTATTTTTATTTAAACATGAATACATGCAAAAAAAAGTGCACCTTTTTATCATAACTGTTCAGCTTAATGAATTTTTCACTACTGAACTTACCTGATTAGCACCCAGATTCAGGAAATGGCATTGTTAGAGCTCCAGAAACCCCTCCCTCACTCTCATGCAGTCACCACCCCAATCCAACAAAGATAATCACTGTCCTGACTTCCAACACTGTAGACGAGTGTTGCTTCTTTTGAACTTTATGTAAAAGACTTCATACAGTATGAAGTCTTCTGTCTGGCTTCTTTAAGTCAACATTGTGTTTCTGAAATTATTTCACGTTGCATGTAGTGTAGCTCATTTACTCTCATAGCTGTTTTGTATGCTATGTGAATATACCACTACTTACCCGTGGACATTTGGTTTCTAGTTTTTGATGAATATGAATAGTGCTGCTATGAGCATTCTTTTAAATGTCTTTTGGTGGGACATATACACATTTCTGTTGGTTACACCCCTAAGAGTAGAATTGTGGAGTAATAGGCAATATATATATCTGTATCTATATCTGTCTCAATAGTTAAATATACATATAGATAGACAGAGAGAGACAGACTGACAGAGGCAGTTTTGGTAGAAATTGCCAATCTTTTCCAAAGTAGTTTTACTAATTTATAGAAAGCATTCATGCTTGGTGCCCACATCAGGCTGATTTAATTGGAATTGCCAGCAATAAGCCACTGGACTCAGTATTTTTTAAATCTTTTAAAAGGTCATTCTTGATTCTAATGCGTCTTGAAGGTTGAGAACCACTTAGCTAAAGTCTTAAATCTAAGTCCAAGTTTCATCATTGAAGAACAGTATGGGATTGATTTGGCAGCAGCTTTGAAAGCATTCTCTGGAAAAGACTGTTTCAGGTACTGGAGAGGTTCCTCCCCCTGGGCTGCTCAGAATTAACATAGCTGAGCTTTTACATTGCCCAGGGGGTTGAGCAAGCAGTTCATTTTTACTAACACAGTTCTTCAAGGTGCATAAAGGCTAAAGCCTATTTGTGCTTACAGAAGATTTTTCATATAAAATGGCTCTGAGACTGCCACACCTTGGCACCTTGACCTTCATGAAGAGCTTGAATCCAGGAGCAGGTAGAGCTCACAATTCCTCAGAGATGGGGAGCTCTGGAGGAGGGACCACCTGCTTGATTCTTGGAGTAGTGCAGTCACCCAGCTCCTTTTGCTGGGGCTGCTGCAGGCAGCTGACCTTTGACCATGGCCCTGGGAGAACCCTGGACAAAAACGTGGTTCATACAGTTGAGCAGTTTAGGCTGTAGCTGGAGGCTCTGGGCAGGATGTCTCTATCTTTCCTCTTTTAATAGCTCAAGTACACTTTAGAAAGAAAAGGTGAATGAACTTCTTGACATTATAGCCAGGGATGCTGGAGTCTGAGGAAAGGGTCCCTCATTCCCCAAGTTTGCAGGTCAGCTTCCTTGGTTGCCACCAACTGTTGGGTCTCTCGGGGGACATATTTGCAAGCCTTGAAGTGTCCTGGGCAGTTTCTTGCCTGATGTAGTACTTGAGTTGTAAAAATTTCTTCCTTGGAGGGAAGAAGTGTGGGGCAGGTCAGGAGTTCCACAGTCAGAATTTCTCCAAAATCTGTTCCACTCTGCATCCCAAGGAGGAATCCCACAGCTGAGGAAATAGTTGAGGCAAGAAAAGTGATGTGGGGAGGGGAGGAGATAGCTTAGTGGTAGCGTATGTGCCTAGCATGCATGAGGTCCTGGGTTCAATCCCTGTTTCCTCCACCAAAAAATTAATAAATAAATAGATAAACCTAATTTCTACCATCCCCCTGCAAAAAAAAAAAAAAATGATGTGATTTGGCCAAAGGTTACTTAGCTGGTTAATGGCAGAGGCTCAATTAGAACCAAGGTCTTCACCTAGTACATGGTGTTTCTTATTCCATCAGGCACTTTCTACTTTTGCTAAAAGGAATTTCATAAACTAATTTTTTTTCTTTACAACAGTGTTCCTCTCTTTGTTATGCTTCCCACTCTCCTGAGAAGACTGTCCCCGACTTTTGTTTAATTTTATTATACTTCCTGGTAACCAGGAATAGACAAAGTCCATCATTCCAGATTCCTTCTGGGCTTTTTCCCTGTGGGAAATCTGGATCTAGTTGCCAAATTTTGTCCCTTTGGAAGGAACACTTCCGTTTGTTCCTTAGAGGAGTTCCAAGATTGTAACCTGGATTTGGAAACTGGGAAGGATCTGAGGATTAGGGACAGGTGTGTCTTTTGGGATATTTATTCACTTAATAAATTTCTGTGTGTCTTCTCTATGCCAGGAGCTCTTCAAAGCCACTAGACTCTTTAACAGTCAACAAAATAGATGATGTCCCTACCCTCCTGGAATTTGTGTCCTAATGGGTAGAGACAG